CGATGCCATTCCCACTATCCATAACTGTAACACAATCTCAGTTCAGTATTACACCAAGGAATGAAAGTGATGTTACATTACCTCATAGATGAAACTACCTTTGTTTGGAAATATGTTGCAGAGTGTAGCATGGTGGAGAAGAACAGTGGAGAAGGCTGCAAGCCGGATGAAGGAAAGGTATGATGTTCGAGCCAGATCAGCTCCATTGCTCCCAGGTTTGTGTTTTAGTCCATAGAACAAGAAGAGACAAGGTAAACTGGCAGCACATTGGGAGGAAAAGATCCAAATCATTGCCAATCAGCCAAGCCCTACAAATCCAATTTACAGAATTTGGCTGGAAGGTAAGGATGGTCCTGTCAGAGTGGTTCATCGCAATCATGGGTGGCGTGCCGGAAACAGACTACAGCCACACATGATATAGCAACAGTCTCGGATCAGTGGTTGCTTTTATGGAGCACAGCACAGCCAGGATCAGTTCACTATCCCCCCTCTCACTAATCGGTCCCTACTGCTCAGGAGGGTCTTAGGAGATCTGCCCATGAGAATTTTGGGAAACCCCAATCTCGATATATATTAAACGGAATGCCCGAGGACGGGCTATAAAAAAAAGTTGGGGTGTGTGTTGCAGAGTGTAGCATGATGGAAAAGAATGCAGAGAATCCTCCACTAAACATTTGGGTTGGCATTACTTTTCTTCTGTCTTTTACTAATTGCATGCTTTGGTGTTTTTGTGTCTTGTGTGAGGTGTAGGCCACACCCATGTGGGAGTGGAGAGTCTACTCTATTCGAGCTGACAGCTATTTGGAGTTGATTAAAGGGGGCACTGATTGGGAAGGATTTGAGGTACAGGTATATACAGGTAACAATGTACAGAATATGTATAGAAAAATTGAAAAAAATTGTACGGAGATATGTATAAAATGTGGAGGGTTATGTATAAAATCTACAAAGCTATGTATAAAATGTACAATAAACAAACAAGCTGGTGAGTAAGATGACCAAAAGAATGTTAAGCTGCATTATAGAGTCCGACAGCTGCTGGTAAGAATGACCTGCGGTAGTGCTCATTCCTACACTGTGAGTGTAAAAGTCTACTGCTGAACGAGCTGCTCAGTGCTTGTACAGTCTCATGCAGGGGGTGGGAGGTGTTGTCCAGGATGGATGTTAGCTTAGACAACATCCTCTCCTCCCCAACCTGCTCGATGGACTTCAGTGGACAGTCCCAGACAGTCCCGGACAGAGCCGGCCCTCCTGACCAGTTTGTTGCGGTTCCCCCTGTCCCTCTCTGCCATTCCCCCACTCCAGCAAACCACAGCATAGAAAATAGCAGAGGCAACGACAGTGTCATAAAATGTCACAGGTGGAGCTCTTAGACCCTTAAGAGCTCTGCTGGATGGGGAAGGGAAGGACTACTGAATCAAACCTGTAACTGGTTCAATCTGTTAGCCCAAACCTGGTCTCCAGACTCTGGACCCCCTCCGCTCAAAGTGCTCCATCCAGTGATGTTCTTCAGTCTGTACGTGTCCTTTCCTCCCCTTATCTCTCTCCTTAGCTCTTTCTGGACTCTCCTCATTTCCTGTCTGTTTCCAGATCTGAAAGCCCTCCTTTTCTGCTCCATCAGGGTCCTAAAATCTGGAGTCAGCCATGGCTTGTTGTTGGAGTAACACCGTACTCCTGGTTGGTACAGTGTTATCCACACAGAAGTTGATATAGTCTGTTATGCAGGTGGTTAGTGTGTCGATATCCTCCCCATGTGGGCTGCATAGCACCTCCCAGTCTGTAGTTTGGAAGCAGTTTGAAAATAATCGAATGATGCTGAAGGGAGGACTTGTTTGAATTAGGATTCATGTAGATCTGCTGGGATACAAAAAGACTGGATTGGAGACCCTCTGTGCCCAAGGAAAGGAAATTGGTCAAGATGTGGAGAGGTTTGAGCTCGAGAGTGAAAGCCCAGGAGCTGGTGTAGAGACCCACCCTCAAACAACGCCAGGCCTGATAAGGTGGGTGGAAAAGCAGGATTGATACGTTTTTGGCTGATTGTTCTTCCAAGTGACCACCTTCTCTTGTTTGTAAACAGGCTAACGATCCTGACCGTGTAAGATTTGGGCCTTGGATTCCAGGCCGGAGTTGTCTTCAGCCAGTAGTCTGACTTGGAGGGGAAACAAGAAATCTTGTGTACCCCATTGCAGTATGAGTGTGGTGGTTACTTACTGGTCAGTATTAGAGCTTACTACGCTCTTGTACGGAGTGTACAAACATTTGCAGATAAATGATAGACACAGGAAATGTTTTAGCTTATTAATTAAAAAAAAAATGGTATGCAAAAATAACTACAAAAATGCACAACAACATGAATTAAATTATCAATCAATTATGTCAATTATAGATTCTCAATAGCTTCATACATGGAACTTTGATTTTAAAAAGATATTACTAAGCTTATTTGACCCATTGAAGTGTTTGTCTTGACTCAAAATCTTAATATCTTTACAGTACAACAGAAAATATTAAATCTTTACATGCTTCTCAGGTGTCTTAGGAAATTAGCTTTGCCCAGAGGTGGTATTTCCACCTATTGTTGCTTCCAGATTTGCTGCCATTAAGCCTGGTGAGCCTGCAGGGTCTTCCCCACCTTGGACAGCTGGGGCTCAAAGTTATAGATACAGTGATATCACTTCCCTTGTCCTTGCCTATTGGATTTTATCCTGTACCCAGGATTTGTCACTTCCCCACTTCAGATCGCACTCGACATACAAGCACACAAGTGGTGACCAGTGGCCACAAGCTGCTCCACAAGGGTTCTGAGCTCCAGTTTTCATATCACCTTCAGTGTAATATGCAGAACCTGATGCTCTGCCTCAATTTAAGCAGGGGTCCTCCATTATAAGCCTCCATTTACCATCATTAAAATTAATTACTATAGAAGCTGAACTGGATCTGGTAAACAATTAAGCTAAATATAAACAGCAAGTGAAACCTCAAAAGTCACAGTTTAACAGGTTAGTGAAGGAGACAAGAAAGCTGGTCACCAATTATTTGTTGTTGGACATGCTCCCGTCTGGTTTGAGGTCACTTAGTAGCCTTTCAGCTATTGTTACACAAAGTGACTCAAAGCTACATTTAAAAAAATATATTTTTTTCCTTTTATTGAGTGTTTCAGGGCTAAAGTAAAAATTCTTTTTACATGTTTGATTACAGAAAGTTCCATCATCTTCTGCCCTCTTTAGGTGGAGCTGGCCTGACAGGACCTGTTTTATTCCTATTGTTTACTTAGTTTGGTTTTATAGATTAATTCTTTTTCGTATTTTTGGCATACTTTTATTTTGAAAAGTTCTTGCTTCCTATCTGCAGTTTTTCTGCTTTTTAAATGCCTTGGGCTTTTTCTAAAATGACCAGGAACTCTCTCCTTGATGGAAAAGGACCTCCCCCTTTCTTCTGCTTTTCACTCTTCTTTCTTTATCTATGGTACAAAGGTAGGTGGGAGAAATAAGAGGCATGGGTACTAATGGAGTGAAGCACGCTGTCATCAGGAGACTTTGAATTGGATGAGGATGCATCCTGTGTGGGCTAATGGCTATTGTACTCAGTGTTAAGAAAGACAAGCAGTAGAATCCATTTCGATTTGATTTTGCAAGCAATACTGTAAAGCAAAAGGATAGCCAAGTAAATGTATGCAAATATTAGGGCTAGTTTATTTGCTCATGTGTGATGACTCTTTAGGGGGAAGGAGACTGTTATTTAGGTTCTTGAAAGCAACCGAACTTTTCTCCAGAATTGGACTTATAAGGAGATTTGACACAGTGAAAGGTCGGTGACTGATTAAGGAATCATTAGGAGGCAACAATACAATATAAATACACACACAGTACCCCAGTGTAAACACAAGTGAAGAAGAACACGCAGCACAGATAGAGAGAGGGCTAAGCAGAGCAAGGAACAAGTTGGCAAGGGAGACCAGAGAGGCAGGTGAAGATAGGACAAGCTGAGAATACTCATGCTGTATTGCTGAGACGGTTTCAAAAATAAAGTACTTCCCCTGAGAGACGATTATGGCTTCTTTCTCTCTCCATTTAGGTGTCAATGTTTTTGAGGAGGTTTGTGTATTTATTCTGTTATTAATCTGATTGCAAATACATTTTCCTAATCGCTACTCTGGTCTCTGTACTCCTTGGTTGCCTTTCCTTTATTTAGCTGCTACCGATTAAAAAAGGTGTGTTAAAAAAAAACAAAAAAACTTTTACACACCTCTCCCTCTTTTTCACATTACACAGACAGCTGTTTCTCGGAAAGGCAGCGGTGTTCAGTTAAGTTGTTCATCTGGGTTCAGAGCAGCGACCAAACCGCACGCACACATGGTAACGCTGCTCACACAAATCACACAAGTGTATAACCTACTTTTCCCTCATTTACGTATTTTTTGACTTGCAAATGTGGATGACCAAACTCTGCAGTGAAGTTTTACTTTAGATGTGCATCGTGGTGTTGAAATTGCACTTATATGCTTGTTTACAATTCTTGAATGAGCAGCTATAACTACACGTAAATAAGCTCTTATGTAACGAGCACTTTATTTATTTTTATTGAAGACATATTTACATGTACCCTAAACTACAGGAGGGAGTATTAACAGATTGTTGAGTAGTGTTATGGTTATTTATTTATTTATTTATTTTGTCAGCGATCATATACAAACACAGTCTTCTTAGCGAGATGTATGAATCTTTCAGTACGACCGTAACTTCGATTTAACGAGTTCATGTTCAGCACTATTCAGTAGGCTAGTCTATTTGCTAAACTACGTAAACTGCAATAAGTTTTCAAATGTTTCATTATACTGTATATCATACTTAAATCAATGCGTGGAGCATCTCATCTCTTAACTTTTGTTATTATCTGAAATCAGAAGTCACGATGTCACTCTTTAGGCGGAGCCTCCCGTCATGCACCTTAAATCGGTCTATCGGTGCTAAGAAACGCATCGTCTTCAACTCAGCTCGGAAATGTCCTCGATGAAGGACTTAAACGTGACCTTTGAAACTATCAACGAAGACGGTAGTTATTCTGAAGGAAATACTATAGTGGGCACAGTTAGTTTCAGGCTGACAAAAGAGGTTAAAGTTAAGAGCCTTTCTGTAAAAGCCAAAGGAGACGTCAAGGCAGAATGGACAGAAGGAACAGGATATTTCCAGATTACCCACACTGCAAAAAGGAGATATTTTAAAGTGAAGGAGTACTTAATTGCAAAAAATGGTAAAGGTAAGAGGCTTTAACACACTTGGAAGAATACAAGGGTTAAATTGTGCAGCAGACATAAAGAAAACACAACATTTAAGGAATATAACCTGGCTTCAATGATCAGCAGTAAATTGTAAGTATGTCACTGTAGCTCTGTGACAAAGCTGACATTTGCTGACAAGTGTTTAAACGTTTCTTGCAGGCACTGTACTTCCCAAAGGGGTCCACACGTTTAGGTTCGGGCTCAAAATCCCAGAGGGGTAAGTGGGAATTTGAATTATTAATACTGTCATACGATGCTTTGGCAAATGCATGCATTTCCCACTGGTTTGGTTTACAGGAGCATGCCTTCATCCTTTAAGGGGGTATATGGAAAAATTGTGTACATGTTTGAAGCAAAGATGTCCAGGAGCTGGTGGCGGCCTTCTAAAGTTAAAAAGAAGATCAACTTCATTTCCAAGACGTTTCAACAGTTTTGGGAAGTGATGGTAAACACTGCACTGACACGTGCTATAAATGTGATATTTGGAAAGTGCTTTGTGAAAAAACTCACATTAAAAATCACACGCATTAAATTGTAAACATGTTTGTCTATGTGGTCTGTCATAGCATCCACAATCTGGTACAGTGAGTAAAAACATAGGTGGGCTCTCCCAGGGACGGGTCCAAATGTCTGCTACCACTGACAGGAATGTTTGCACTCCAGGTACAGTAACTTCACGCTGCGCAGCGAATGTTGATAGATTTAAAAATGCAGTTTAATGTTCTGATTTGATTTTTACAGGTGAAACTATATCTGTTGTTGCCAAAATCTGCAACTCCTCTTCCAAGAACACGAGGCCCAAATTCAAACTTGAACAAAAAACAGTATTTCGCTGCAATGAGTCTACTAAGAAGTGGGTGATGAATCTGTTCAAAGAGGTCGGGGAAACGATCAGTCCAAACTCAGAGCGAACTGTCTCCTGCCAGTTGAAGATTCCTGATGATGCCATCTCCACTATCCATAACTGTGAAATCATCTCAGTTGAATATTACATAAAGGTATTAAACAATTTCTTGGTGACATCACATCCCCTCAGAAATAAAACTGCTTTGTTTCTAAACATGTGTGAATAAATAAGCTACACGGGAAATGTGTGTCTCAACTATGTATTAATTAGAACAAATAATAATAATTCTTTACAAGTTTCTCAATTTCTGACTGTTTCCCAGGTGTATCTGGACATTAGCTTTGCCGTTGACCCAGAGGTGGTGTTTCCACTGGTCATCGTTCCTTCCAGATTTGCAGCCATTCAGCCTGGTGAGGCTGTGGAACCTCACCCACCTGGGACAACTGTGGTCACAAGTTAAAGCAACTTCGCTTCCCCTGCCTTCCACACTGGATTTGGCTCTGAGCCCACAGTGTCAGGTCACTACCCCACCCCAGATGCTACTCAGCATGATAATATAACAAGTGGCAATTCTAACCAGTGGTCACACGGTGCTACTGCACAGGGGATTTCAGCTCCAGTTTTTAAAGCACCTTCAATGCAACATCCAGGTCCTACTCTGACTACTTTTCTACAGGGGGAACAACCTCCATTATATACGTCCATTTACCAGCATCAAAATGAAACACTGTGAGTGCAAGTGAATGGGCCAAATATTAATAGCAGGTGACACCTCAAAAGTCACAGTTAGGTATGGCTTAAACAGGGTTCAGAAGGCTGAATCATAAAGGTGTCCTCTTCTTGTTGATGATCAACTGGCAGGACAGAATGAGGCCCTTCCAGCTGTTCTCCCACAAAGGAATTAAATGTGTTATACAAAAACTGTGTTTTTAATATTTAATGTTTTGGAGGGAAAATAAGACTAATTGGACAAATCATGAATGTGTTCAGTTGTAGAAAGTTTCTATGTCCTATACCTTATTTAGACGTAGCTGGCCAGATACTACACCAAGTAATCAGAGCTGTACCCCAAAACTGTGACTTTTAAAGGGCCTGAAAAAATAGGACTGGGGGTTAAATCATCTGACTGAGCAGTTTTCACCTCTTGATATCAGTAGGGTACCAGAGACACAAGAAGTGACAGAACAAACAATAAGAGAAGTAAGTGATTTTCCTTTAGTCAGTCTTCTACTCTCTATACTCCACATAACAATTTGTTTAACAACAGACATGTTTTTAGTTATAGATCACATTTTTATATTTGTTATTACAATTTTGCTTGTTTTTTCAGTGTTTTGAAAACTGGAAATGCATTGCCTGTTTTAAATATATATAAAAAACAATGTCACATATAGTTTGTGTTTATGCTTAGAGATTTAAGGTAAGGTGAAAGGTCTGTTTAGCAGTGTTATCCTTAGGAGTATGTTGCACTTTACTTTGAAAAATATTGAATTGTCTATGTTGTTTTATGTATGGTGGCATATCAAATTCTTAAGGCACAGCTTATGGTTTTCGTGATGACCAACATGGTCTCTGTTAAACCACTTACTGTTTTATACTGCAATGCCTTCACTGTCAGCTGAAACAGACTCAGAAGCACTTTTCACATCTGATTACTTTGCTACATGGTGTTACAGATGTTTATTCATGTCAAAAGGCTTGCACTTATGAATGGAAAATAGGGAAAGTATATGTAAGATTTTATAGCACTCACCACCAGGACAGTCGTTGGGCACTTCATTGTAAACAGAAAAATGCAAATGTTACTTAAACACTGGGAGGGAGCCAGCCCTGAGGATGGTCTTCCTCAGAACATCCTCCAAACCCAAGGACAGAGCTTTTTTTTTTTTTTAAGGTGGTTGGGTTAAATTTAAGTTAGGCTGAAGTTTATGTAGCTCAGAGGAGACTGGCTAAAAAAGCCGAAGGGATGTAGCAGCCGATGGGAAGCTTTTGTTTTGAAAAATTGCTGATAAAATCTTATAACTGAGAGCTTTCATTATTAAAATTAGATGTTTCTGATCACTGTGATCATAGCATGACAGCATCTTGATCCAATAAAATAACTTGATGGATGGTTAAAGAAATATACTGCCACCATGTGAATGTCTAAACTTGGATGTATTTGTCACAGTGCTATCAAAGGGATAGAGGGTCATTCCTCAACCTGCACAGCAGCTGCAATGTAATGTGTTATCGTAATGTACATGAAACAAAGAAGCTTTATAGAAGGTTTTTGGTTATAATATAATGATTACTTATTAGTCAAAGCTGAAAAAATCAAGAGTAAAGCCTCTAATATATTGTAGAAAAACAGAGGATGCCTTCTGTGGTAAAACAGTTATTTGGAAAAAATTGGAATATTAAAACATTATGAAAATGCAAACGGTTAATTGGATTTTTTGATGAATCCAGGGGGACAAACACATTTTGGCTGTGTGTGATGAAAGAAGAGATTGGTTTGCCCTGAGCAATAGTATAGCAAGTTGCCATAGATAAACACTGGACTTAAGAAGATTGTAGCATAAAGGTGAGATATATTGCTTTTAAGAGCTTTGAACAGTGGTGATGACCATTTTTACCGCACACAACATGTCAGTAACACTCTGCCATTATATGCACAATTTAACCAAGCAGGGGTGTGGGGAGGGAGAGAGCGAGCGAGCATGGAAAAAACATCTCACCAGCACAAAAGTAGCTACGATAGGTAACAGAGAACTGCACAAGAGTTTAGACTCAGAATAAAAACACTGTAAAGAACTTTTTGACTCATCTACACATGTTAGAGCAGGTCGGTCATTGTGAGTGCTTGCATTTATTTATGTCCTTCTGTTTTTGCTCTGAGCTCATAGTTTTCCACCGCTGCCTCTTTGGGAGACACACCAATGTGTTTTCTCACACCTCTATGTGTTTGTACATTTCATCGTACAAAAGTGGTAAGTGTGGTCAGAGATTTAGGGGGCAGGTTGTTCTACTTTCCATTGTTTGCCTCACTTTTAACACATTTAGGATGAGTGTTACCTTTTCCATTAAAGACCATCACTGATTTGTTAAGACATTGTTTTTTTTTTCTTTTCTCCACTTCCAACAAGAGTTACACTAGGTAATAATGTCAAGAATAATGGAACATACTACTTTTATAACATACGTTACGCCCTACTGTGGGAAGTATTTAAGAAAAACCATCAAAAAAACCACTGTATGCCCACACATCAACTTGCCCTACATGCGATGCATGCAAGGAGCAGTTAGGAAACCACAATAACTTACCGCAGCATTTCATCTCCTGTGGGGAAACAAAAAACAAGGTTAGGTCACACTACAGACTGACAGTTAGTTCCCATCTATTGAGCGATACTAACCAGTATAAATACTAAAAACAGCCAGGCAGTCTGAAGCAGCAGTCTGGTGTGAAAATCAGAAAACTGGAATATATTTATAAAAACAATCACAAAGCTCATACGGGGTATTCCTCCTGCTTTACCAAACTTTACCAAAACTGTCCTAAACACAGCGCTCAAAACTAAGCACCACACTGACTTGGATTTCCATGAAAATACTGACACTTCAAATTAAGAAATCCTAACTGCTTGCACTCGCCTATGGGTAACGCTAACTCCTAGATTCCAGCTCTCACACAACTAATTCATTAATAATCTACTTACAATTTTATCTGTTGGAAATCCACCACTAGATGGAGACAAATGGGTGAGAAAAAGCAAATGTTTGTACTGGATGTTTGTAGAGAATGCTCAGTATTTTTTTATTTAGCCGCTAGTCCATTACAGATGGACTAGCGGCAGATACCACATATATGAGCGCCCAATTCACAATCACCAGTACATCATAAGCATATTTTAATAGGTTTTACTGGAATATACTTTAAAAAACCTGCCAATTTGCTGTGAATGCGATCTTCTTCTTGTGAACATTGTTTGTGACCTGGTAGTTTTTCTCACATCACCCTAAACTGCGTAAATATATGAGGTTTCTCTTTATATGATATTTAGATGTTGTGATATTGGGTAGAATCATAAATTACGATCTCACTCTTTAGGCGGAGCTTCCTGTCATATCGCTTGCTTCAGTTGATCAGTTCCTAGAAAAACGCTGTGCATTTCACTCGGCTCTGAAATGTCTCCGATAAAGAACTTAAATGTGACTTTTGAAACAATTAGTGACAACAGCAGTTATTCTGAAGGCGATAATATAGTAGGTACAGTCAGTTTCAGACTGACAAAAGAAGTCAAAGTCAAGAGCGTTTATGTAAAAGCCAAAGGGGACGCTAACGTAGAATGGACAGAAGTAGGTGTACCTGTCGAGAGACTGCAAAGTGCGCGCAGGAGATATTTCAAAGTGAAGGAATACTTGGTTGCAGAAAACGATGAAGGTAGGATGTCTAAGTCAAACAGAGTTTGTTGTACTTAAAGGTGTTTGTAGCTATGAAATTTATCAGGAAATTTGGCAATGTGTTGTATTAAAAAGCAAAATTGCTACAGTTAGATTCCTTACTTTAAAAAAAAAATAAAAGTTTTTTTTTTCTTTTTATGAAGTGAAGAGTCTGAGGAAAGATATATCCCAAAATAATAAGAACAAAAATCAAAATAAATAAGTGAATAAATAAAGACATGTTATCGAGGTGTGCATGATAGGATTCCAGGTCAAACCACAAAAAAGATTGGTTAACTTGTCTTTTATTATCTGTTATTGGCAGCTATAGTTAAAAAATATTAACGCTTTTATCTGTAATGCCAAACAAAACAAAAGCCAGACAAAAGGACGTATCAATGGGTTAAATAGTGTAGCAGAGGTAAAGAAAACAGTTAACTTTGAGAATATGAGATTGAGATCAAATGTTAATCAAACGACTCTTGCAGGGACTGTTCTTCCAAAAAGAGTGCACATCTTTAAGTTCAGGCTCAAAATCCCAGAGGGGTAAGTGAGAATTTGCAGCATCCAACATTAATAAATATCTTGCTTTTGCAAATGAATGCATTCCTGATTAGTTCTGTTATACAGAAGGATGCCTTCGTCCTTCAAGGGAAAACATGGAAATATTGTCTACACCTTTGAAGCCAAGATATCTAGGAGCTGGCGACTGCCTTCGAAAGTAGTAAAAGAGATCAACTTTGTGTCAAAGTCCTGTCCACACACTCCTGAAATGATGGTAAACACTAGAGTGACATATGTTAAACATCAGATTTTTGGAAAATGTGTTCTAACTATTCAATAAAAAATGTTTCAGATTTAAAAACCTGAATCACCTTTTACACTTTAAAGTTTTTAGTTTATACATCTCGGGGATAGTCATCAGTTCAAACATACCAACAGTGTAAATGTAACATACAAGAGAATTCAGCGTTGATTACCTGGACTAGATCTGAAGCCTAAAAACAACATTGAGGTATTTTCTTCTGTATTTAGGCATTTAGTTGATCTGGAAAAATGTTTATTTGATTTGTTATAGTGTCCACAGTCCAGTTCAGTGTGTAAAAAGATGAGTGGTCTCTCCAAGGGACAGGTCCAGATCTGTGCTACCATTAACAGAGGAGTTTGTTCTCCAGGTAAAGTATCTGCAACGTGCTCTAGCAAATGTTGATAGACTAAAAAAATGCAGCTTATTGTTAATATTTGCTTTTGACAGGTGAAACCTTGTCTGTTGTCGCCAAAATCTGCAACTCCTCTTCCAGGAACACAAGGCTCAAATTCAAACTTCAGCAGGTAACGGTGTACAGTTGCCAGGACAACACTAATAGCAGCAAGGAAACGCTGTTTAAAATGGTCGGAGACACTATCCGTCCAAACTCAGAGCAAACTGCCTCCTGCCAGCTGAAAGTTCCCAGCGATGCCATTCCCACCCTCCATAACTGTGAAATCATCTCAGTTGAATATTACATAAAGGTATGAAACAATACATGATTTGTATTACCTCAGAAATGAACCTGCTTTTTTGCAAACATTTGTGGATAAATAATAAAAAGTAAATATGTGTCTTAACACAACATCTTTATTGCAGATTATAATGCTTTACAAGTTTCTTCATCTCTGACTGTTTCCCAGGTGTATCTGGACGTTAGTTTTGCCCTTGACCCAGAGGTGGTGTTTCCACTGGTCATCCTTCCTTCTAAATTTGCTCCAGCTCAGAGTCGTGAGGCTGTGGGGCCTGAGACAGTTGAGCCTCCAGCTTACAGCGAGTTCACATCCTCTGCTTTCACCACTGGATTGGATCCTATACTCACAGGGTCAGGCGTTTATCAATACCTCACCCCAGATCCCACTCAGCATGCAAATGTAACAAGTGATTATAACCAGTGGCCACAAGGTGCTGTTTCACAGGGTTTTTCAGTTCCAGCTTTCATAGCACCATCTGTGCAACATCCAGGCCCTACTGCTCTGCATGGAGAAGAACCTCCACTATATTTGTCCATTTACCAGCATCAGAATGAATGAATGACTGTAGAAGCTGAACTGGATTTATTAAGCGAATAAGCTAAAAAATAAACTGTAAGCAGTTTCTTTAGTCACTTGGATAATTGTTCAGACATTTTTTCGTACTGAGAATGTTACCTTGAAATGAACTGAATTTACTTTTTGGGATTCCTAACCTGGATGATTGAGCATGTGTCAAGACATTTTTTAAATCCTACATATGAATATATTCCTGGTCCCAGACTGTCTCAAGATGCACCATAATGTTTCTGACTCTTTGTGGCTAACATGTATCGGAAAATGTGACATAGAGCTGGGCTTTTAGGAGTTATGGTGAACAACTCAAGTCCAATTGACATCCTCCACTGATGTTGCTTTTTTTGTTTTTTGTTTTTTTAAAAGCCAAAACATGCATTGCCTACTTTTTGTGCTAGTATTGTGTTTGTGTCCCCCATTGAGGATAAAAATAAATATAAGCTCATTAAAGTTTGATAAAACTGAATATTTTAACATTTAATTTAGATCTTTATTCATTCATGTTGATTCATTGGTTCATATGTGCAACAAACTTTTTTTGTTCTTTTTACTAAAACATGTTTTATACCCAAGCTTAAAGATCATTAAGTAGGAAATAATTTTGAATCATAAGCCTGACATTTATCTGCTGAAAACAGGACAAAAAAAATCTCAATTCCTATTTTTAAGTGCAGGGAGTAGGGAATTTTATCCCAATAGCATCCTATGTGGTGAATCTTTACAGAGAAAAACACCACATAACCATTCAACCCCACAAACATTCCTCAAAGACTTGTTGTCTTGCTAAAACAGATTTACACCCCTTTAAACCTAATTAGTATTCCATGGAGTCGTAGCACCTTGGTTGCAGGCAATAACTCATGTGTGCCACAGTGGCAAACATTGCATGTTTACCAGTAAAGGTGGTATCGGTTGCAATGGTTTTCTAGTGGAAGGAGAGACTGTACTGTTAGCATTTGTAAAAAGGTCTGCCAGTCATGGGTGGAGAATAGGGACAGCACTTGTAAGAGTGATCTTGAATAGTTTAAACTCTGGACAGTTGTGAAGCATTTCATTGCAAACAAAGAAATCTAAATGATACTTAAACATTTCATCCCTCCTTAAGGGGATTAAAAAGGGTCAGATGGTCACTATTTATTGTATTTATTGCTTATCTATTGATATTGTGAATGCTTAGCTCCTCCCACCTGCTGCTGTTGCTCAGACAACACAAGCACGTGACCATAGGATAGGCTACTTTCGCCTGCCACCAAAATGGGAAAAGTGCTATTGAACGTCTATTTTTTCCTCTTCATCATTTTCAAAGGTAACATGTGTCGCTGTTTACCTCATTAATATAGCTGTTATTTTTAAAAAACAGTTTTAATTTTAGCTGTTCGAACTGTTGTAAACATTTAAGTAGCTGAAAGGCACTTTGCAAGTGATGAAGCTGATAAAAGAGATAACAAATTTAATCTGTCTATACAAACAAAAACTATGGGTGAGACGTTTAAGGTCATGCCCAAAATTTCTTGTTTTCACTGAAAGCTCGTACATATATTGATAAAAACCGCTGACAGGGTTTGAACCATTGATTTTTAAAATGTTTTCTTTGAAACTTAGTTTTGTCAAACTATCATATGTTCACAGCATTCATGCCCTTCCAAACCTTTTTTATTGTAGCTGTAACTTTGTTGAAGTAATGTGGATACATTTCATTCCTTTCTATGCGCCCTGGGACCGGCTTTGTTCTGTTATGTGTGGGTTCAGACAAAGATCATAGCTTACAGCAGCACCCGCAGGTTGCCGGATTTCATTTCCTTGCAGATGTCAGCATTTTTGGGATCACTGCTTTTGTTAATGGTACCTAATGAATTGTGAGTTGGTTTAACAGAGAAACAGGTCTGCAGGTGTCATTTTCTCAAAAACCACCAGATCTTTGCCCTATTTGTAAAGCAAAGCAGGTGCAGTTATAACTCCTGTATTACATCAGAACTATGAAAAAACAGCAGTGCTTAAAATGAAGGGCATATTTATAGACTATAACTGATTGACACCTCTAAAGGCTTTTATTTAAACAGCTAGATTTATATTTTTTTATACATAATAAAGTGTGAACTTCACTGCTTGGTCAGTTAGTCTTGGTTTCAAATGCATTACGCATAGGTTCAGTCAGTGGTTTCAAAGCACAGCATTGCAGAGCTAAACAGATGAAGCTCCATTACAGGATTTATCAACCTTTAAAAAACAATAACGACAACAAAAAAATAAACATATGTTTGTTTATTTAGTTGTTTTACTGTTGAATGAAGTGCTCTTGTGTGGTTACAAACTGCATGTTGAGCCATATTTGCCTGGATTTGCATGTGTTTGTCCACTAGTAGTAATGTTAATGTGGTTGACACACAGAAAATGAGTACAGCAGAGAGCAGTTGTAGGTTACCTAGATAAGGTTGTGGTTCTCTACAGGTAAGCCTGTGGGCTTGGTACTAACTGCTAACCAGTTATGTTACCTTGTTTTAAATAACAAAATATACAGTTTTTTGCATATCAGACATGCCAAATGCATCTTTTAACACACATTTATTACATATAATTTATGGGTACTTTAATTATTTATTATTTTATGTTTTATTCGTATGTTGTCATCCACAGAGCTGTCTGCCTTAAAGATTCAAAACAAGCTGCTGGGTAAATGTCTGCAGGTTACAGAAGGAACCGAAGGAGGTAGAGTGTCACTGGGCGAATGCAGTCCACGCTCACCTATACAGGAGTGGCGTTGGCACCAAGAGAGCCAGGCTGTCAGCAACTACCACACTGGAGAATGTCTGACTGCACCAAGAGAGCAATATGAAGGTGTTCATCTGCAGCCCTGTGTCTTCAGAACTGCAAGTGGCAAGGATGGTGATAGAAGAGAGCCAGGAAGACAGGTATGGACATGCTCCAGAAAAGGCCACCTCACTGTGGTAGGGAAGGGGCTCCACCTTACTGCTACAAAAGAATCCACTTTGGTCTTCCTTTCAAGACATAAGAAGGTAATAATATTAGGGATGGAGAAAAGAAATTATCCACGTATGATAATAGCATCTTAATGACATTATTTTAAATGTATTTAAACGCTAGAGAATATTGTTGAATGTTTTCACAAAGCTGAAAGATAAAAACGTTTGCCTCTGGTTCTTTAGAAGCAGGGCAGCAGGTGGAGAACACTTGACAGGCAGACGCTATGCGATGGGAAAACCAGCCAACATAAAAATATCAATCCTCACCTACATCTGGGGGAATCTTTGGAACCAGAGATTCTTTCCAGTCATATATCTGATGTATACAGACAGGATGAAACAGGTAAGAATATCTCATGCCATAATTCACCCAGTGTTGTGTATGTGCATGTAAACACATAACCATTTTAGAAGTCTTTGATTGAACCACTCCTATTCGGGCCTGTTTTAGACAATGACTTGCAATAAGATAAATTTATGCAAGACATAGTTTAGGCTTACAATCGGGGTTAAAGTAGTATTCTGGCACAGAAAAAAAGATTCAAGAAAGAGAGCAGAGAAAGATGAGAAATTATTTTCAAAGGTCTATTCATCTCACTGTTGAAATGCTAAATACTCAAAGAGCACTGAATACTGGAGTATGAGCATACATCAGCTGGTCACAGTTTGTACACAAATAAATGTCATACTATTAGAGTATCCAAACTACCCATGTCACACTTAACCCTTGGCTATAACAGTTATTTTTTAATCCAAATGAAGTATAATATACACTTATGTCACATAATAATAATGATTCTATATTTTTTTATATAGATTTGACTCCTTCTTATTTTAGCACCAGATCCCCTGCAGATCCAATGACTTTTCTCCATGTGGACAGTGGTAAGATCTGCAAATAAAAATAATAAAATAATAATAATAAAAGAATGAATGTCCAGTTTTATTTATGTAAATATTTGATTTATTGTTGATCTTTGTACACTATAGAAAGCAATATTTACTTTTCCAACACTAGATGGAGACAAATATAAGAGAGACAGCAAAGGTTGAAGTGGACGTAGAGAAGTTTTTTTTCAAACTGTGTTTCGATAAAAAAATGATGTTATGTATTTGCAGCAGTTACTAGTTAGCAAAGGGGTAAATATGAATTGCATAAAACAAATGATGCTTTTTTTGGTTTGTATTCACATGCACATGTTTATAGAGATTTCCTGGAAAATGGCTATGGTGGTGTTAAGTTTATTGTCTCTGTTCCTGGGGAGTGTGACTCTTTTCTTCGGTATTCACGCTGACAGGTAAGTGGCTAAAACACATAAAACATGCATTATTTATCTAGATTTACTATTGGAATAAAACAAGTACTTCTTTACTTTTTAAATACTTAATACTTTAAAGGTACACTCAGTATTTTCTAGACTATACTATACTGTACTTATATGAATATATTTAAAATAGTTTGAAATGATCATTATTATTATTATTATTATTATTATTATTATTATTATTATTATTATTATTATTATTATTATTATTATTATTATTAATATTAATAATAAAAAGAATCCTACAAGACTTTCTAAAAGCAGATGGCAACAAGTCACATTTACTGTCACTCATCTGAGAAAGAAAGTGTGTACAAATAGAAGTAGTGAAGGGTTGTAGTATTTGCCAGATTACGTCAAAGGGTTACACTAACACCTACTGAAGCGCTCCCACCCCCCCTTTTTTGCTTAATACTAATAACCACAAGGGAGGGGGGAAAAAGCAAGTTTGGTATACAAATAAAAATGGAATAAAAGCCTTGTAAAAAATTTTGGACAAATCAATATTTTTATTATTATTATTATTATTATTATTATTATTATTATTAAGTATTGGTAGTAGTAGTAGTACACTGTGAGAAAGAACAGGAAATGTCTGCTATACTTATTAAAGGATTTGCAAACATGCGTGGAAATAAAGTATAAAAGGCAAAGAGTCTGTATCATTTTAAGGAGTTTCCATCCATTTGCTTCCGCTTATCCTTTTCAGGGTCGCGGGAGCCTATCCCAGCTGTCATAGGGTGAGAGGCAGGGGTACACCCTGGACAGGTTGCCAGTCTGTCGCAGGGCGAACACACAGAGACAGACAACCATTCGCTTTCTTGTAATTTCTTTAAGTAGTCTTCAGGAATAATTCTCCAGGCTTCTTGAAGGACATTCAAGGCTCTTCTTTGGATGCTAGGTACCTTTTTTCCTTTCTTTAAGATGACCCCACAGGTCCAGGCTCTGGGGAGGAGTCTTTTGGTGTTTGTTTGTCATGTTGAAAAGTTAAGCTGTTGTTCATTTGATGCTTTACAGCTGTTGTTGGATGGTGAATCAAAATCTGATGGCAGTTTTTTGGATTCATAATTTCATCAATTCTTTCACGATTCCAGACATCATTGGCTGAAATGCAGCACAAAACCATTACAGAGCCTCCACCATGTTTTCCAGATGGCTGTAGGCACTTGCTATTGTACCTCTCTCTTTACCTCCTCCGTACATGATTTCTCTGTTTCCATTCTTAAGGAAGGGTCACCACTGAGATAATTTCTGATACAATATAGACAAACAAATGGATCCACAGCAGGGTCAGATATATATCTCAGGTATCTCAGCACACAATGCTGAGATATGCCAAGAAGCTTGGGAATTTACTTTTTGGTGGAAAATAACAAACAAAACAATTTTATGCCTGTCAAACTGTGATATCTTTTTTTATTTATTTATTTATTTTCCTACATTCAAATCAGAGATGGGAACAAATTATGTGCTGGTAGTAACAAAGTGCCTAAAGATACAAAAAAACCAAATGGTCAGATACAAGGACTGGATTAAGACAACCAATGTCCAAGGAAAAACTTTGAAGACCTTCAGAAAGCCTGGAGAGATATTGCTCATAACAATATAAAAAAATACAAAAATCTCTGCCTCATTGGAGACAAGGTATAAGAAAAAAGGGGTGGCTCAAGACTTTTGCAACTTTAAATGCACTTAATGCACAATTAATTATCAAGTCCAACTCTATAAAAGCAGGAATTTTGTAAGTTTTCTAATCTGATGCATTCAGCTGTGTCAACGCAATGCCAAAGAGGATGTTTCAGCAAATTCATCCCAGTGTAAGATTTTCCAATGCTTGGAGAAACTGAAAGAAAAAAAGTGTTACATCACATAATTTACAGAATATTAATTATTTTCAGAGAAGAAGTTTTTAATTAAAGCTTCTTCTCTGGAAAAAAAAAAATTTTGCAGCACAGCAGCAAGTTGCAGCTGATCAAACCACAAGACTGCTGGAACAAGTTTCTTTGGACACATAAAATCAGTACAACATGTCATACTGATAGGCATGGCTGGGTGATGATTTGTATTTGTTTTACAGCCGTCAGACCTGGACGCCTTGCAGTCGTTGAGTGAGCTTGGCTGAAACTGGGTCATGCAGCAGGATAATGATCAGAAACACAGCAGCAAGTCTAAAAACAAAAAACAAAAAACAGAAAATGATGGTGGCTAAGACAAAGTCCAGACCTCATTCCAACTGAAATGCTGTGGTGGGACCTTAGGAGAACTTTGTACAAATGAACACCAGCAAACCTCAGAACTGAACTGAAGCAACGTTGCAAAAACAAATGGGCCAAAATTCCTTCACAATGAGGGAGAGAATGAAAGTCATACAGAAAACAAATACTTCACATTGTTGCTGCCAAAAGTGGTTCTATGAGCTACTGGAATGGTGTGTATGTAGTTTTTGAGCAGACAGGTATATAACTATATCTATATAGAGATATGTTCAATGGAGTTTATTGTTATGAGAGGAAAAAACCAAGAGGGTAGAACATTAATCGTTAACATTTTTTGATGTTTTCAGAATAGAAAAAAAGATTCTCGTGATTTCTTGTATAAATACTTGAGGGAATGCTTGTTAGATGACAGTCAATTGGATAAATACTTGGGAAAGTAATATGTGTTTTTTTCTAGGTTCTAAGATTTACGACGATTAGACGTCCCTGCCCAGTGGTGGCTAGTGTTGCTTACTTCCATTAACATAGATATCCATTTACCTAATGCTTACAGGTATTTCACCAGTGTAATTTAACACTTAACTTTGTCTTTTTTAGTTGTATTCCAAAATTTCTAAATTGCTGCTCTTATTTACATTTTAAACAGCATCACAAACTTTTGGAACTGATTCAAAAATACTGCATGGTTATGGCTGACATAAAATATTGTACAATTATAGCTAATTACTGAAAACCACCTATAGAGGGGGTTTGTCTTGTTGCATGCAAACATTGCAGCCAATTTATGGTGCATTTGGTGCAAAGTAAGAATATCGTTGCTCAGTGTAACCATTTGTGTTTTGCAGTGTATATGACAATAAACTTCTTGAATCTTGAAGTTTATAATGACAATAAAAGTTACAGAAGACATGGTATTTTCTTGTGGCACAGAAACTTCCCAGCAGGAGTCGTCGTTCTACAAGACAAAACCAAAGGCTATGTAAAAGTGTTTGTGCAAAGAGACCTGGCTGTTGTTGATCCCTCCTGTTTGATAGATCTGTGTGTAGACCAGACAGCGTCAGGGGAAAAGAATTTGACAAGAGAACAAAGAAACTCTGAACTATATAACTTCTGTTTTGCAAAAATGCACTCACAAGTTTTCTATATGCTTTAAATGTACAAATATATCCTTTTTCTTCCATCAGAGAAAGTAAGTCTTGCAGCTCTCCTGCCGTGGTTGTGTTTATCCTAATGACAGGGCACAAAATTTACTGAACAAAATACAGCAATCTCGAAATGACATGCCATCCCCTGTTCCAAACCACATCCACATGCCAGATTAAAAATTGGAGGTTATATATATATTTTTTTCTCTTTTGGTGAAATGTGTCAACAATTTTGCTTCTACAGCTTACAGCTTTTCATGCTTGTATTGGATTGGCCTTAAACCCAACCCAGGGAGGTATTATGAAGCAACTTCAACAAACCCAAGATATTTTTTATCTTTGAAAGATAACAGCCACAGTGCTACTAATCTATGCCAAAGGTGAAGCTAACTCCTTTTTAAATATTGATATTGTAGTGGCATAGAAACCGTCTTCTCAGTTGTTGGGGGGGTCCGTTTGTTTGTTTTTTTGCTATATTGTAATAAAGCATCTCATCATAAGCAAAGAAAATTTGCTTATGCTGGCATGACTTCTATGTATTGCTACACCAGAAAGACTCAAAAAATTCTTTTCGTATCTGAGTCTCACCCTAAAACAGGTCACAGGTAAATCTGTCCAGGTTTTTGTAATATGATTGCATTTATCTAAAAGGGATTGCCACTAGGTAATCAATCACTGGCAACAGTAAAACCACAAATTTCTTGCATTAAAAATAATTCAAAAACAAAATATGTGGACTTGAAATAAAAGCATGTGAGAGGATAAAGTAATGATTTCAGATTCACAATTTATTTGAGGTCATTTACAGACATAGTGTAGAAATGATTGTAATAACATTGTCTTGCTACACTGACCTATAGATACATCCTTCATTCAGCATGGCTCATGTGCACACCTTCAAACATCTTTTAGTGAAAGTGTTGACACCGAGTGATTGTCATTTTAAATCCAGTCTGTCCGAGTACTGAGAAAAAACAATGGAAAATGTATCACCGCCTGTGTGTGAAACTGTGTACAAAGTCATGTCTTTATAGGTGGTGGCTGGTGGTGACATGCATGAAAAAGAGGTGTGTGAGAGAGTTAGTCAGCACTTTCAGTACCTGGAGGATTACCAGCTGTCACAGGTTTTTATTATATAATTCCTTTTTTACTTGGTTGTTTTGAAGCAATGGAGCTCTTCAAACTTCTGCAATGTAACATAATTGTATTTGTTAGTGCTGGTTGAAAAAACAGAGCACCATCAAAACGGTTGCAATATTTAACACAATACAGGATTTATGGTACCTGGCTTTGGATAAACAATAGATGATTGGTGGAACATAAAACCATTTACTTTTCATCCCATATTGATTATATCACATCAGACAGTTAAAAAAAAGATGATGCAACAATTTATGACACCAGTGCACATTTAAAAAAAAGCAGATTATATAAATACTAATGAGCCATTAGAGCAGGGGTGGGGAACTCCAGGGCTGGTCAACACACCTGAATCAAATACTTAGTTCATTACCAGGCCTCTGGAGAACTCCAAAACATGTTGAGGAGGTAATTTAGCAATTTGAATCAGCTGTGTTGGACAGTGTTTCAATACTGTCCACAGCAGTTCCCCATTT